TTCCTTGCAAGGTAGCTCTAGGCAAATGTGGAATGGACAAACGAGCCTACTTATTCTAATTGACTTTCAGTCTATTAAAGAGGTTCTATTTAGACCAAATCATCTGCTACCCCTATTGCTGAATTTGAAAAATCTTAGACTTTAAAAAGTGAAAGTTGAAAATTCCCCAAAAATGTAACTCTTAAACAGAAAATCTTAGATGGAAAACTTTTCTTTGTAGCTGATTTTTTTTTTTTTTTGCCTAAGGAGCTGTGTTTCACTTTTTTGCTTAATTTTATCACAAAGACATAAAACCTCCATCTAAAAGTAGTCCATTAGTCTTACTTTCAACAGACCCAACAAAATGGAGAACTGGAGCCCCGTTTGCAGATTATTTAGATCCAAAGCTAGACTGTAGCTGAATTAACTGGATAACTAAGACAGTGGTATGGGCTGTGGGAGATAGAAGTGGTTGTTAATTACATGTGTCAAAACAATGTGGAGACTTCGTTTAAGAACTAGAAATAGTTTCCCTTTCAGAATAAAACCTAAATTCCAAGGTAATAAAATGATAGGTAATTATTTCAAGTGACATTTAATGGAAAAAATTCTGATGCACATTAGTACATAAATATATTCCATGTAATACAATTATAGAATTTTATATATATAGTATATATAACCAAAACATTACGAGCTTGCCACATGCCACATACAATGGTTTCATTAGTTCATAATTATAGTTCATATATTTAAAGGCAGAGGAAGCGGCTGTTCCCAGGACAGTTGAAATTAATTTAGAGAAAGGGATTTGCAGACGTTTTAAAAAGTCTTTGTGCCGCCTTTACCCCGACTCCAAAAAAAAAAAAAGTAAATAAACATCTGCTCTCAAAATTAATCTTAATAGAGCTTTCAGAAGCAGCATTGTTAGGTTTTGTGCTGTGTTCTTACAACATAAGTGAACGCCTGCACCCTAAATGTGGCCACTTAAAATCATAAATGGCTTTTTTTTTTTTTCCAGTTGGAAACCATTGTTACAATGGCTTTAATAAAATGTGTTTTTCAGTTGTTTCCAGTTTGGGGTCTAAGATACTTCAGACTCATTTCGTCAGGATAAGGTAGCATCTTTAAAAAGCAGCTGTGTGGGGGTCGCTGCTCCTTCACTCAGGTTAAGCCTTTCCCCCTTCGACTTCCTTCATTTCGGCCCTCACCTCACCTTTACTTTCCAGTCTGTGTGACCTTGTGCAAGTCACAGGATATCATAATTCTGTAGGCCCTGAGTTTCTAGAAGTGTAATTCTACACTCTAGAAGTAAAATTGTGTTAGGGTAAAACACACCATAGAAGATTGTTTTATTAAGGGTTTTTTTTAGAAGGACCGGAAATACTCAGATAATTTGCAAGGGAACGGCATCTTTTATTAAATGTCCCTTATTCTGTATGTGTAAATCTGACCCCATAGCCTCTATTCCAGGAAATGAATGCAGTCTGCAACCTAATTAAAGGTTATCCCCTGTGAGTCTCCCAGGACCCTCTCAGGTTCCTGGTGCAGGCTCAGAGACGGAGTTGCCCACTGGAAGTTTCCATCTGTATCCCTGCACGGCCTTGACTCACAGTGTGAGCTGGGCCAGATCTGCCCCCCTGCCAGTGCTCCTTTCCCCTCTTAGCTAGTCTTCCCACAAGGCCCATATCCCATTGAGAACAAGAAGCAGCAGATCCCTCAACAGGCAACCGAGGTTGTAGGCTTGATCTGACCCACTACTTCTCATTCAGTCTAGACAACCTGGTGCATTACCTCTGCCATGAGATTTTATCTAAGAATAAATCACACCCAGAGGCAATGCCCTTAAATCTCCAGTCCCCAGGGCGTGGGGCGGGGGGCAGGTCCCCATCCCAGAACAACTTAGACACTAGGCAGGAAACTGAGATTTGGGTGCAAGTACCCCATTACTGGCACCCGTGGGTACTCAGGAAAAGTGAATAAGGCAAGAGTCCAGTTGCTAGAATGCAGGCACAGTCAGAACAAACTAGCGTCCAGGGTGACTTGATGCTGAGATGCCAGTGTCAGTACTCAAGACTTATATCCCCATGGGATCAAGCCTGGCTCCAGAGTTGGCCATAGGAGCCCAGTCAGCTGCTAAGGCATTAGAGGGAGGGAGCAAGGAGTAGTGGAGATAAAAATTAAATTATTACACCGCCTCCCAACACTTCACGTATATTTAAGACAGAGGCCCAAGAGCAACACGACATATGTGTAGGGTCGCCCACACCTCTGGTTAATTTAACTAGTGGCTTTTTTTTTTTTTTTTTACGTCTGAATACAGCATAAAGGATTTCCCTGAAGAAGACTTTAGAATCAAGCAGATATGTGCTTGAATTATGTCCCTGCCATTTACTGGCCATTTAATATTGGGTCATACTTTCTGACTTCCTGCTTTATTTTCTGTGAGAGGGGGATTTCACTCCTAGTGATGTGGTTGTGACGACTAAGACGAATCTCAGCACAAAGCATGCCGTGGTTGTTCCCAGACTCGTGCGCACGTTGGAGTCACCTGTAGGGAGCTTCAGAAAATGCCCGTGTGCTGCCTCCCCAGAGTGTTCCTGCCACGTGGCCTAGGCTTGGCAACTTCTAACAGATCCCCAGATGATTCTGATGTTCAGACAACTTTGGGAACCCCTTGGCATAGAGCCTGTCCTACACTGAGCATTAAATATGTGTTAGATGAGTGGAAACAACCAGAGCCTGGCATGGACGAGCTTTTCCAGAATTCCTGGCTCCCTTCCCTTCCCTGCCGGTCTCCCCTCTTTCACCGGGGTGCGTGAAGACAGCGTCGGGCTGTGATTCCAATCCGTGCGGCTGCTGCTCATGCCAGACATGTGAGAATGCAGAAAGCCCTGGTCCCACCTGCCTGCAGGAGGAGAAGAGGAGGCGAAGATAAGTTCATCACGAGGGGCAGCCCATGAGCGCCTGGTAAGGGACTCTCTGAGTTTGCTCTCGAGGACACTTGTACGATAAAGCCCCTGGGCACTGCTTGTCAAGTCACCCTGGAAACTAGGGCCCAGGTGTGTGTTCTCACTGGGGCCGATGCAGGAATGAGCCAACGCACAATGGATAAGCCAGTGGCAGAGTTTCAGCTGGTCCTGAGTTCTCCTCTTTTTTTTTGGCTTTTAGAGTCAACACTTGTTGCAGTAAAATCCTTTGTTTGGTGTTCCTGGGTCAGCCATCTGAATGTATCAGAGTTCCAAGAAGCTGAATATGTGGCTTATTGGTTTCAGTGTCCTTTAATGGCTCTTGGAGAGAGCCATGAAAGAATGAATGCTGAGAGCTGGGGAACCATCTAAGTCATTCTAAGATTTAGAAGCCGGTGGTGTCTCCCCTTTCCACAAAATAGGAGAGCTTTAAAGCTGCAGTGTTTCGCATGTGGGAGAGGAGCCTGGCCCTTCGCTGACTATTTGAGTTATTATGTGCTTGTGAGTAAAAGTAATATGTCGTGGCTCTGAGTGTCTGGAACTGGAATATTGTTTGATGTGCAAAGCTTATATTTTACACTTTATGATTCAGAGCAAATGTTCAAATTTCACCCCAGTAACATAATAGGAAATAATTAAAATGCTAAAAAAAAAAAAACAAAGTAGTCAGTCTCAAGAACTGTGCAGTCATTTTCTACTTGACCCAAGAATCCTGATGGAGTCAGGCTGTTTTTCCTTATAAACAAAAAAAACTATCACAAATTATCAGTTCAGGAGATGAGACCTCCAGCCTACTCAGTTTTTAAGATGGGCATTCTCAGTAAGAGAAGAACCTTTTATTTTCAGGATAATTCTACACTAAATAGGGATTGTATAAGTACTTTGAAAATAGTGTGGATTTTTTATTTTCAGCGGAAAACTGCCACAGATTAAAACTTCCTGATATTGACACTTTGTAATACCGTGTTGTTTACAAAAATAAGGATCTGCTGTCTTTGTTAATATTTAGCACTTATGTGATGTTTTTACATATCGTATTTCGTACTGAAAATATATAAGCCTCAGGCACATTTTCATCACTCAATTTTTATAGTTTCCGTTTTTTTACTTGAATTAACTTCTCATTCTTTGTCATAGTCATACAGTTCTACTTCAGGGTTTAAAGGTAAAATGGTACATAACACAAGGTTATTGTATACGTGTGCTTCTATCTTACTAGTTTTAAGCTCTGTGACAGCTTCGTCTGTGGGGTCCTCTCAAAACATTGAAACAAATCCCTCTATTGTCTATCACCTTTTACTGACATTTGAATTTGTTAGAACTTCATATAGAAAACAAAGATTGCACTTCACATAGCAGAGAAGAGAAAAAGCATAGGTCTTGCTCAGGCAAAATACAATTTTCTCTGGTTTACTAACAGTCAGCATTAGATGAACCAAACCATCAGAAGCATCCTGGACCCTGATCACCTTCATGTTTGAGAGGCATCCAGGTCACATGTGGTCCTCACTTGGGGTTCGGTTTGAGGCATGCATACTTGAAAAATGAGTTGCAGAGAAAGAGTTTCAGTATCTCTTTCTTTAGCTGCTCATAAAGCTAACCACTGAATATTTTTCCTCTCTCTCTCTCTCTCTCATTGGTGGTTGTAATTCCCAGTGTCCCCAAAAGAATCCTCTTACTAGTTGGACCACTTTTTTCTTATGATTATCAATTGGCCAAAGCCCAGTTTCATTCATATCCTGAGCTTTGGACATGAACCTGTGAATATGGCTTTGTTTGCCTCTGAGTTGGCAGTGTGAATCTGGCACGTGCAGTTTCTACTTACAGGGCTGTACAGCTACGTGATGCTCCGTGTTCCCAAGGCAAACCCCCACTTGGTCCCAGGCCTTCCCAAACAGACCCATGATGCACAGGTATACCCCTGGGTGCCCTTTGTGAATCTCGAACCCCACTCCCTCATTGACAACAGGTTCTAAGTGATGTTGGCAGAATCCCAGCTCTCAGCAAGGATATCATCTCAATAGAGTGCTTTCCGTCTTCTCTCTCCCACAGGGTCCAGTAGCATCAACCGCATCAGCGTTGTCTGTCCTCTCCGTTGGGCCTGGCCTTCCTCCACCTCCACCTCCTCCAGGGCCACCTCCACCCTTTGATAGTGAGGGCAGAAGAGAGGAGTCTTCTCCTTCACGCTCAGCTTTATTTGCACAACTTAACCAAGGGGAAGCAATTACAAAAGGTGAGAAAACCAGACCTTGAGGCTGTCTCCCTCTGGCTTCAGGCACACAGATTCCTCAGAGTCCCGGTGATGGATACATCATTCCATCCCAGTCCCTACTACATGGAGAGCCGTGTGTTCTTCATCTCAAGGTAGATGGGCTCAGTGGGCTGTTGGGTGGATCAGAAAGAAGAACTCAGAGATCCTAGGTTCTAAATGGACCACCGCACTGTGTCACCACTTCAGCCCTGGATGCTTCAGCACCAGCTACAATCCAGGCATCAAGATCAAGTGAAACAAAAATGACAGATGATAGAACCTCTGTCCTCAGAGGTGTATGGGCTTGTCAAAGAATTATATCATTGAACTACCTTTGTGAATGGTTAATATTTTTAATCATATACTTAATAAATTCATGTTGCCAAAAACTTTATGCAGATGTATTTTTGCTTTGCATGGGTAATAGGAATTATGGTATAAGTGTTCTCGTGTGCTGTGCTGGGAGCTAAGAACCAAAACTATTTCTGTGGCTGCAACTGGCTGCATTGTCCCCTCATCCGCAAAGGAAGGGAATGGACTCATAACCCTTAAGTCGATTCCATACTCTGACCTATGCTTACTGAAATGCTCTAACTTTTTAGACTGTATCTAGGAAATGATTTAGCTATGACAGAAGTAAATCATGGAATCCTTTCTGGCGAGGGGGTTTGCATTTTGCATAATTTTTATCTATTAGCTTATCTCCTTCAAGAAGAGGTTCCTCAAGGGGAATTTCCTGACAGTCCAGTGGTTAGGACTCCAAGCTTCCACTGCAGGGGGCAATGGTTCAATCCCTGGTCAGGGAACTAAAGTCCTGCAGCCCATGTGGTAGAGCCCATGTGGTTAGAGGTTCCTCAAATTAAAAAATACTTACAGGGCTTCTATTAGCTCTAAACTTACATAGGTCTCAGCCTCTGCATACTGCCCTTGAGAAAACACTCAACTGTTATGAAAATAGCATTACCTGTGCTGTTTACATCATGTTGATACAAGAAGTTAGGGACATTTCCCTTTGCATAAAATGTAGGAAATGTGTCTATGTGTTACCTTCCCAGGGCTCCGGCATGTTACTGATGACCAGAAGACATACAAGAATCCCAGCCTCCGGGCTAACGGAGGACAAACTCCATCTCCTACCAAATGCCACACTCCAGGCCCCAAGTCTCCCCAGTCTCATCCTCCTAAGAAACATGCTCCTGTGTTAGAGTTGGAAGGGAAGAAATGGAGAGTGGTGAGTGAAGCCCTTTAACTTTATTTAGGACATACTCCGATGAAAGAAACAATGGCTAAACTGTTTGCCAGGGTCTTAAGGATTTCCCATTTTTTCTTCAACTTTTTAAAAATTATTTTTAAAATTGTGGTAAAGTACACATAACACAAAATTTACCATCTTAACATTTAAGTGCACAGCTCAGTGGCATTAGGTACATTCACACTGTCCTGCACCCATCCCCACCATCCATCCACAGAACTCTTTCCATCTGGTAAAACTGAAACTGCACCGCTTAAACAATAATTCCCCATTCCCCCTCACGTCACCACCTGGCAACCACCTTTCTACTTTCCGTCTCTATGAATTTGACGACTCTTTCTGGAAACTTTTAATCTGTGCCCCATTCTGATCTACTGTAGGATGTTTCATCCTATTCCACTGGCCGAGGTGCTGATATAACCTACTGCGTCACCCACCACTTTCACAGTTGTCTGAGCAGGACAAAGACACTTTGAATGTGGATGGAAGCTGGTGCCCCCTGCCAGTTCAGGGGCCTTCCCTAAAGATGGAGGAACAAAGTCCCCAGAAAGGTTGTCATGGTCTGAAAGTACACTGGGACTTAGACCACTGTTGTGACCTTTGCTGGTTTATTTGTCCAACTCCTACTTGCAGATAGTGCTGCAGCATCAAGTCCAGACTCAGCGGCCAGACTCAACCCAAAGCCCTCACATCCCTGCTGCAGCCCCCGCCCACTAGCCAGCGTGCCTGATGCCTAACGTTTCACAAATTGACACCGATCCCCCTTCCAAGCAGCCGTTCCTCTCATTCCCAACATTACAGTGACAAAGTCAGACCTGCGGTTTGGTCTGTTAAGAAAATGGTTCCTAAAGGAAGAACATATTGAGAAGCTGTAACTGGTGAATGCTCCACAGTAATTTCAGCATGCGGTGGACTTGATTTATGCATCCTTATATTTAATATTTGCATATGTTTTAATTTTAGGAATACCAAGAGGACAGGAATGACCTTGTGATTTCAGAGACTGAACTGAGACAGGTGGCTTACATTTTCAAATGCAGCAAGTCTACTCTACAGATAAAAGGGAAAATAAATTCCATTACAATTGGTAGGGCAGAATTATGGGTCTGTACCTACTATGATAAGCTGCTTTGTATAAATATGCTGAATGAATTTAGCAGATTGTTTTTTTTTTTCTCTAGACAGCTGTAAGAAGTTTGGCCTTGTGTTTGACAATGTGGTGGGCATTGTGGAAGTCATCAACTCCAAGGACATTCAGATGCAGGTAACTGACCCTTTCAGCCATTCCTGGCCCCCACTACCGGGCTTTGCCTAGACGTCCCCTCTGCTTACAAGGGGCCCTCCATGTCCACCTGTAAAACTCTTATTCTCTTTCCCTCTAGACACAGCTCTGTCTTTACCTCCTCTCTGAAGCCCTCTCTTACTTTTTGGACAGTGTTAATTCCCCCTTTTCAACCTCTTATAACACATCCTATCTTGCACAGCAATTACTAGTTTACCATTTCTATTTCAAGAACAGCCAGTTAATCTTTACAGCTCCAGAAATTTGCACAGTACCTGAACATAGTAGGTGTCCAATAAATGTTTGATGAATGGGTGATTGGAATAAATCAACTAATGAGTGAACCGAAATATTAAGAGGTTCTCCTAGCATAATAGTACCATGCTGAAGAGAATTTATTTCCCTCAGGAAAAATTGGTTCTGGGTAAAGTTTTTCTGAAGAGTCAATGAGATTATCAGAAAAACAACTTGGAAAGCAGGATTGCAATTGAATCTGCAAAACAGAAGAAAATCTGCACTGCTTTAGCAATATTTATTTAGCCAAATGGGATTTTATAACATGCCAAAAGCTAAATGACTTCTTACTTTGGCCAGCTATAACTACTATCTTTGATTACACTGTTTTCATATTGTTAATCACCCCTTATTATCTGATGTTTCCTGATAATGTTTGCTAAAATTGGCTGCTAGTTGTATAGATTGTTCTCTTTGGTTTTACTAGGCTTTTCACCACTGCCCCTTTTAACTAGAGTAGTACATTCAATAGTTGGCACATACATGGAGATGTATTTTAGGACCCTCCATGTGGGAAAAAAATATCTAATCTCTACCTCATACCATATTTAAAAGTAAAGTCCTAATTATAAAAAGAAATACTTTTAAACTTTGAGAATAAAATACAAAAGAAAATCAGTAGAAAAGCAATTAGGGTCAAAAAGCACAAACTATAAAGAAAAGGACAGGTGAATCTAACCACGTTAAAATTTATGTGTTCAACAAAAGACATCACATACAAAGCTGAAAGATGGGGCATGAATTGAAGAAAGATACTTGCAATGCAGATAATCAAAAAGGATTTATAACCAGAATTTATAAAGAACTTAACACAGGGCTTCCCTGGTGGCGCAGTGGTTGGGAGTCCGCCTGCCGATGCAGGGGACACGGGTTCGTCCCCCGGTCCGGGAAGATCCCACATGCTGCAGAGCGGCTGGGCCCGTGAGCCATGGCCACTGAGCCTGCGCGTCCGGAGCCTGTGCTCCGCAACGGGAGAGGCCACAACAGTGAGAGGCCCACGAACCGCAAAAAAAAAAAAAAAAAAAAAGAACTTAACACAAATCAAGAGGAAGACTAACAACTCAGTAGAAAAATGGACAAAGAATATCAGGGCAATTCAGAGAAGAAAAAGTGAAGTATTTGATAAATATATGAACATATGCACAACCTGCCTAATAGAAGAAGAAGTGCAGATTAATTAGCTATATCTTCTTACACTCAACAGTTTTGAATTCAGGCTGTCCTTACTTTGCAAGGGGCATGTTAGCTGAAACGCATGCGTATCCGAACTGTGCAACTTGAGGACTGCCTGTATATTAAAAAGTCTCATGGTACAAGCGTTGTTATTAGAACCCTGATACATCAGTGTTGGGAGAGTAAACTATTACACTCACTGTGCAGAGCAAATTGGCACCATCTAATAAAGTCAAAGGCAGTCATAGCCTGTAACCAAGCAATTTCACTCTTAGGTGTGTGCACTAAAGAAGCTCTAGTACAAATGTTGATGAGACATGGATAAATGTTTATTGCAGTATTATCCATAATGGCAATAAAAACAAAAACAATTTAAATGTCCACCAGCTGGTAAATGAATAAATAAATCCACCTAATAGAATACTGTACAGTGGTTAAATAAATGAATGAACTACACTTACATGTATAAAAATAGGAAAATCTCAGAAGCAGCCTTGAGTGACAAAGGCAGATTATAGAACAATAGGCACTGTGTAATGTGTCCCTTTATATAAAGATCAAAAACATGCAAAACAATATGCACATTTTAAATATACTCATGAGGGCTCAAGTTCACCTTACGCAAGAGACAAACCTGCTGTGAATTGGAAATACAAAATTCAGAAGAGTAGTTACATCTGTGGAGGGAAGGAAGGAGGACAGTGAGATGGGGAATGGAAGAGAGGGGGCTTCAACTATATTGTAAGATGATAGTCCTAAAAAAAAAGGCAAACGAGCCAAAACGTTAAACTCTGATAAAGCTGTTTAACAGGCATATATGTATTTACATTGTTGTTATATTATTCTTTGTATGCTTCTATGTTTGAAATATACATTTTTAAGGCTATGGGCCTTAAAATAATCTGAAAGGATAAATCATGGTTATCTGTCCAAGAGGGATAGAAACTTGGCAGCGTGGTTCAGAAACAAGGGAGAGACATTTTACTGAACACTTCAACCTTCTGGATGTTCAAACCAAGCGAATGTCATTACCTATTTAAAACATTTAATAAACTATTTTAAAAGGGCCTGGACACAATAAAGACAGAACGCAGATTAGTGCAGGCTGCCTGGGGATGAGGACGGAGATTGGCTATAAATGGGCATGAGGGGTACTTGGGGGATGACGGAAATATTCTAAAACTGAATTGAAGTGATGGTTGCACAAATTCACTAAATATCATTAAATTGTACACTTAAAGCAGGTGAATTTTATGTTTTCACATTTTACTTCAATAATGCTGTTAAAAAGATTGAAAGGAGGAAAAGCGCACAGAGGAAAGTTCATATGATTTACTTCAGTAATTCTGTTTTTTTGCAAACTATCCTAGAAAAATAGTACAAATTATGGGAGAGAGGAGACTAAGATATTATGTGGAAATTTTTTTAAACGTATAGAGAAATAAATTTAAGAAAAACAAAGAATACAGGTACATGTATTAAATGCTAGAGCATTGGCCTGGGCAAGGTCACATAGCACTTGTCACTCAACAGGGGAGCTACTTTTTAGTCCGGTTCTCCTGATAAGGAACAATCTCTGTTCTCAAAATGTTTACAGAGTACCAGGGAAAAAAGGCATGTACTGTATATAATTTACTCTAAGGAAATATTGACTAAAAATGATGTGGAAATGACAATTCTTATCCTCTCAGGGCTATTTAAAAAGTCTACTGCTTTTCAGATTTTCAGATACATCGATATTTTAGCATTTTATGTGCTAAATGCGCTATCCTCGTTTGACCCCACTCTGTCTCATAAATGAATCTCCTAAGACACACTGACAATTTACTTCTTTCCCTTTGCTTGCCTGGTATTCATACAGTTCTGGTCGCTATGGAAATGCTCTTCATCATTATAAAATAAACCTAGAAATTGCCAAAACATTACTGCTGACACATTCTTGATATATACATATAGATATTATCTTATTTTATTTATGGCAAAGCCCTGTGCTTACCTGACCTTAAACTACCTCTGCCTTTTTTTTTTTTTTTTTTTTTTCTTTTGGCACTGGGGCTCAATTCCAACTTGGTGTCCAGTTTCTGTGGGGAGAGGAGAAAACAGAGAAGTGTGGTGACCTGGCTAGATTCCCCTAAGGAATTCTTTACATCACCTTCACCATCACAGGAGTTGCTCCTTTAATTTGCAACCCAGCCTATTCTTCAGGGTGAAAGAGGAGATGTTGTTATCACTTCAATTACCATTACGAGAAGGAAAATTATGTAGTTGTAATATGGTCGTTGGGGGAATAGTCTGTGCCTGTAGAGATTTGGGGGGCGGGAATATCTGAAAACTGACTGTTAAAAAAGAAATTTAAAACTGATCATAATGTTTATAGCACTTGATATTTGTAACAATACAAAGAACCACCTCCTCTTGTGTATGGTACTATTTACCTATACAGTGAGTAGCCTGAACCAAGTCTCCAGTTTGGGCTCCTGAAATGAATACATTTCAGAATACCTAGACACTCATTATCTCATTTAAGCTTCACATTCAGCCAGTGAGATTTTTATCTAGCAAAGGACTTATGTGAAAAGAATTGTAGTGTTTCTTATTTATTCTTATTTAGATTCAGGAAAAATCTTCTCAATTACAGAATAATTTATTTACTCTTAAATGACAGTATTAGTGAGTGTTTTAATCCAAGTTTCCTAGAGATTCGTCAAAACTAAAATTTTAAGCACATGAAAGCAAATGCATCTTGTTTCTTTTATCATGAAATCAAATATATGTTTCAAATCCACTAACGGGGTTGTGAAACTTTTTCTGAACATTTAGCTGCTGTTTTCCAATTAGTCCCTTTATTTTGTGTCAGGAAAGAGACCCTGAGGTTTGAGAATCCCCTTGTGTGGTCCTTTCATTCTGTCCCCAGATGACACGTACTAATTCACCCTGGAGACTTTGTCATTCAGCCAGCCTCTGCAGCCCTAACCCAGCCATTCCTAATGCTTGTTTAGTCCTGTGGACTGTACTTATTTGGGGACATTGGAATTTCTGTTTATTTGCTTTGGCCCTAGATTTTTTTCCCTTCTATTTCAGGTGATGGGGAAAGTGCCAACAATTTCCATTAATAAGACAGAAGGCTGCCACATATACCTCAGTGAAGATGCGTTAGACTGTGAGATTGTGAGTGCCAAGTCATCTGAGATGAATATACTTATCCCTCGGGACGGTGATTATGTAAGTACCTTTGAAAAGACTGTGAAGAATTTTTCTTATTAACATTCTTAGAGACTGATTAATCACCTCCCAACCTTTGACCTTCCTTTGGAGAATAATTCACAGGTAGGAGAGGAAGTCAGAGGGTGGCTTTTCACCTATCTGCTCCCCTGTTAGTTTCTTGACTATGCCCGGTCCTGGATCTGTGATTCTCACAGCATTTTCCTAATAACTACCTTAATGGGCTAGCTCTTATCAAATAGTACACCAGGCATCTGAGTTCATATTATTTAGGACTAAATATTTTCCTTTGCTATGGTGGAGGCAAACAGAAAAGAGGGAGAAGCACTTTGGGGGAAAAAAAGGAGGGAAAGGAGGTAATAATAAGTGGACCTATTTGTATAGGTATTCTCATGTCAGTGGTTCTCAAACCCAGCATAAGAATCAGCTGGGAAGCTTGATGAAAATACCAGCTCCCAAACTTCACACCCAGAGGTTAGATTCAGGAGGCTTGGAGGGGGCCCAGGAATCTGTAGTTTTAATATACCCAGGTGATTCTGGTATTATCAGTCCATCCAGTGACCCTTCTAAGAAACGGTAGCCTAAGCCACCATGTATTTTCTTTGTCTCCTCTCCCCAGCAAAGCAGTTTCTAGAAAAAGCAAGCAGATATTCTCACACACTGAAGAGGAAGCATAAATAAATACATTTTCTGCATCATGCAGTGTGATGGACTTGCTGGCTGTTGCCATTTGAAAGCAAGTTATTACTTCCTATTAGTTGTTGCTTTTTTTTTTTTTTTTTTGATGTGGACCCTTTTTAAGGTCTTTATTGAATTTGTTACAATAGTGCTTCTGTTTTACCTTCTGAATTTTTGGCCGAGAGGCATGTGGGATCTTAGCTCCCCAACCAGGAATCAAACCCACGCCCCCTGCATTGGAAGGCGAAGTCTTAACGCCTAGATCTCCAGGGAAGTCCCTAGTTGTTGCTTCTTGAAAGTGGAGAAGTAAATCCAGAGATCATTCCCTCTGGTTCTAGCTGTGCAAGGAAGCAGTGAACTGGGAAGGATGGGACAAAACGTAACTTAGGCACACCTTTGAAAGAGGACCCCCCCCCATTAGCCTATGGGTCAATCACCAGCTGTCTACACTGCAGTCAGCACTCAGGTTAATCTCCTTAGGCAGACAACTGGATTGCTGCCATGTTCTCCTTTCCCCACCTGCCAGTGAGCACTACCCAGGCACACACCACATATTTCAGTTCAGAATTCATTGTTTAAGTCTAAAGAACAAAACTCCACAAGCATTGGAGTCACTAGGTATCTGGACAGCCTAACCCTGAGCTAGAGAAGTATCTCCTCTTGGGCTCTCCACCTAAAAAAAAAATACTGAAGAGCTAAAGCCAATACAGAACAGCTTCAGAAGAGGAAAGCTAAAAATTAGGATGATTCCTGGCCTTTGCAGCTGTTTAAGCAGAAGGCTCAGCTTCATGGAAACTGGCTGGAACTGCTAAGAAAAGCAATGGGGGTTTGGACGAGCACTGCAGACTAATTAAACTAGAATCCCTGGATGTGGTATCCAGACATCTGTATTGGTTAAAACTTCCCGGGTGATTCCAGTGTGGAGCCAAGATTGGGATCCACTGACCTAAAGGATGAGTATAGCTCAGAACCTGAGCTTTTATGCTGAAAATGTAGTCTCCCCTCTATAGGTGAATTATCTTGTGTCTTCAGTCCATGGCCCACTTCATGCATTTTCTAACTGGGGGTAGTAGGGAGCAATACAGAGGTCCTGCCACGGGCATTGTAATCTCGAAGTAGATGGTGGGGATGATTCATCCTGAAGGGAATCAGTCTCCCAGAGAAGGTCTGTCATCACATTACTATCATGTCACTCCCAAGAAAGACTGGGAACAGCTGTAGGGCAGTTACCATCAAAGAGGTACCTCCACTCTGGAGCACTCTCCACCTGGCTTGGTTTATTCATCAAGAAGAGCCCCAGAAAGGATGTTAGCCACACACACACACACACACGCGCACGCGCGCGCGCACACACTAGGTTTCTCAGACTGTGGCTTCTTTGCTTTCTCTTAAGACTATTGCAGATTTCACTCAAGGAGAATTCACCACTCATGATAGAAAGGGCCTTCCCTTTAAAGTAGTTAAATAAATAGCTTCTTCCAAAAGAAACAGCTGGACCCAACATCTAGGAAGATACGTGTTAGTGTGTGTATTCCAGTAGATGTGAAACATCACATCTCACCGACAGATGAGCACAGGCACCAGCTTATCACACTGCGGTACAGGAAGTCCAGGGATGTCACAAAGCCAGGGCTCAGGGGACCGCTCCTCAGCTTCCTTTCCTGCCCTCTCCTGCAATGACTGGGGAATCACTCTCCAGGAAAAGGAGAGAGCCCAAACTAATTTTATTTTGACTCTTCTGCATTTTTCTTTGTGTGTGTGTGTGTGTGTGTGTGTGTGTGTGTGTGTGTGTAGGGGTGTGTGTAGGGGTGTGTGTGGAAGGGGGGCATGTATTCCCCAATGGGAAGAGTAGGAAAGCAGGATGAAGGGTAACAAGTTTATATATAACTTGCAGCACATTTTTATATTTCATCAGAGGGTAGACATAACGCCGGGATAAAGCCCTTATTCAGACTGGGGGCCAGCAGCCTTGGCATCCCCTTGGAACTTGTGGGAAATGGAGATTGTCATCCTCTTTCCCAGATCTACTGAATCAGACAGAGTCTGCCTTTCAGCATGATCCCCAGTGCATGTTTGAATCTGGTGCAGGGTCAAGGGTAAAAAGTCTCAGGTTTGATCTTTGGCTGCTCAGAGGCTTGACCTCTCAGGCCTCTGTTTCCTGTAGATGGCATCTCAATAATATCTAGCTCTTGAAGTTCTTGCAGAGATTAACTGAGTTCACGTATATCTGGTGCTTAGCAGAATGCCTGGTTCTTAGTAAGTGCTAGCATCAATGAGGATGCTGGCAGGCAGTCACAGAGCTGACACGTGACCATGCATCGCTCCCTGATGCAGGTTTGGGTTCCATAAAAATGTCTTTGTCCATCATGTGACACTAATCAGCCTTCCATCTGTTTGCAAAGCCTTGGTTTAAATAACTTTGTTCTTCTGGCCTTTTTCCAGAGAGAATTTCCCGTTCCTGAACAGTTCAAGACAGCATGGGATGGATCCAAGTTGGTCACTGAACCTGCAGAAATTATGGTTTCTGAGAGACCCCCGAACCCCCTGACCTGAATCCCCCCCATCAAAAAAACAAACAAATAAAAGCAGCATTAAAGACCTAGAAGTTGCAGTAGCACCTACTGCTTTAGCTTTGGCCTCCAACAATTCTGTGCTATAGAAACAGCATAATTTCTGGCACGCCTTCGTGGGCATTTTGGAATATTTAACGTTTCTTCATGATTTGCCTTTGTGTGTGATTTGAGTTCCACATGATGACTTGTGAGCGTTATACATTTAAAGGAAAAAAAAGAGAACTCTGTTCCCCTCATATCATTATCACAGTAGTTAAGAGGTAAAAATATTGCATGACTCACTTTTACACTTACATTTAATTGCTAGTTGATAAATAAAACCTTTGAGAATCTAAGATGTACATTTTTATCTTTCAGACAATTTCCATATATTTGGTAGTATGCTCTAAAAAATGTACGATTTTTGTTTTCTTCTTTTTACCACCTTTATCAGCATGAATACACTGTCAGCCTGAATACATATTTCAACCCATGTTTTTAAAACAACATAAGTTCCGTACTAAGAACCACATCCAGTTTCTTGGTCCTTGAAAAGACCTTTATTCTTTGCAGTTACCAGAAACCAAAAGTAAACTCTAATGATTTATCGTAAATACTTTTCTGCCATGTCACTTGGAAAACTTTTACTTTTCTGAGATTTTTTTTTTTTTTTTTTTTTTGCGGTACGCGGGCCTCGCACTGTTGTGGCCTCTCCCGTTGCAGAGCACAGGCTCCGGACACGCAGGCTCAACGGCCATGGCTCACGGGCCCAGCCGCTCCACAGCATGTGGGATCTTCCCAGACCGGGGCACGAACCCGTGCATCATCAGGCGGACTCTCAACCACTGCGCCACCAGGGAAGCCCTACTTTTCTGAGATTTTTATGCCAAAAGATTGATAGGAAAAAGCAGGGTGTTTTTTGCTCTATAATACCTCACAATGTTGCTCTAGGAACAAGCTCAGTTGTTATTTTCCAATTTTGAACCTGTGAAATATCAGATGCCTTGTAAGTGATGTCTTTAATGTTTTATTATAGACTTTCTTCTTTTCCACTTGCCAGACTCGCTAGCCAGTCTCAAAAATGAAAATGAAAAAGCCGTAGTTATATTACAACTTCTAAAGCCTAAGGGATTGTTTGTTGGCTTGGCTTGCCGCTCCTGTTTTGCAGTGTTGATAGTACATGCTTTTTCAACGCGAGAGTAACTCTGATACTCCTTTCTGTCTTGTTAGTACATAGTGCTGAAAACCTGCAACTTCTTGGATTACATGTAATGAATTTTAGTATAATGCTTGCAGACCCAATACAAGCATATATATTGTGCCTAGTACAGCCTTTGGAATACATCATTTCCATTTTTTAAATATCTTCTATAACCGTATAGTATTCAAATTAGTAATGCTTGTGTACCGCAGTTTTGCTAGAAAAGTTTTTGTCCGTATGAAGAATGTTGTGGCTTTAGTAAATACCTTTTTTTCAGCTGTAAACTTATTCTGAAATAAAGTAAAATTCTAATTGTTTAAATACTGTGATGAATTCAGGGTGTTAAAATATTTTCCTCTTTGATTTGCTCCTTGCTCGTATGTCAGCTTTAGAAAATGCAGCTGAGCTTTTCTAGTTGAATTAGAGAATTTACCCAGCATGCCATCAGTTTCCCTGAAGAATAGCTTCTTCTAGATAAATATCAGATAAAGCCATTTTCAGTTGGAAGAACTGTCAGAAAAGTCTAGAATCAAGTTTTTTTAAATATTGCATTAGTTTAGTTTGAGGTGTACAGCATAGTGATTCAGTTATTTTTTTGCAGATTGTATTTCATTCTAGGTTATTACAAGATATTGAATATAATTCCCTGTGCTATTCAATAAATCCTTGTTGCTTATCTGTTTTATGTATAATAGTTTGTATCTGTTAATCCCATACTTCTAATTTATCACTCCCCTGCACTCTCGCCTTTGGTAACCATAAGTTTTCTATGTCTGTGAATCTGTTTGTGGTTTGCATATATCACTAGATTCATTTGTATTATTTTTTATTTTAAGTTTTATTCATTTTTATTATTTGTATACATATAAGTGATATATAGTATTTGTCTTTCTCTGACTTATTTCACTAAGCATAATATTCTCTCGGTCTGTCCATGTTGCTGCAAATGGCAATATTGCATTTCTTTATGGCTAAGTAGTGTTCTATTGTATATATATACCACATCTTCTTAAGCCAGTCATCTATTGATGGGCACTTGGTTTGTTTCCATGTCTTGGCTATTGTAAATAGTGCTGCTATGAGCATTGGGGTGCGTGTATCTTTACAAATTAGAGTTTTTGTTTTTTCCGGTTATATACTCAGGAGTGGGATTGCTGGATCATATGATAGTTCTATTTTTAGTTTTGTAAGGAACCTCCATACTGTTCTCCTTAGTGGCTGCATCAATTTACATTCCCACCGACAGTGTAGGAGGATTCCCTTTTCTCCACACTATTGTTTGTAGACTTTTTGATGATAGCCATTCTGACTGGTGTGAGGTGATACCACATTGTGGTTTTGATTTGCATTTCTCTAATAGTTAGAAATGTTGAGCGTTTTTTCACATCTCTGTTGGCCATATGTATGTCTTCTTTGGAGAAATGTCTATTTAGGTCTTCTGCCCATTTTTTGATTGGGTTGTTTGGGGGTTTTTTGATATTGAGTTGTATGAGCTGTTTGTATATTTTGGATATTAACTCCTTGTAGTTTGCATGATTTGCAAATATTTTCTCCCATTCCATAGGTCTTTTTGTTTGTTGACAGTTTCTTTGCTGTGCAAAAGCTTTTAAGTTTGATTAGGTTCCACATGTTTATTTTTGCTTTTATTTCTTTTGCCTTGGGAGATTGATCTAAGAAAATATTGTTACAATTTATGTCAAAGAATGTTTTGCCTATGATTTCTTCTAGGAGTTTAATGGTGTCATGTCTTATATTTAGGTCTTTAAACCATTTTGAGTTTATTTTTGTGTATGGTGTGCGGGAATGTTCTAATTTCATTGATTTACATGTAGCTGTCCAGCTTTCCCAACACCACTTGTTGTAGAGACTGTCTTTTTTCCATTGTATATTCTTGTCTCCTTTGTCATAGATTAATTGACGGTAGGTGTATGGGTTTTTATTTCTGGGCTCTCTATTCTGTCCCGTTGATCTATATGTCTGTTTTTATGCCAATACCATGCTGTTTTTTTATAAGATAAATTTATTATTTTTTTGACCAAAGTGCAATGATTTTTAAATCTTCTTAGACAACTATGAAAAAAAGTATTCAAGAAAATAAAATACAAATGGAAAATTTAACCATTAGATTTCTTCTACCATGCTGTTTTTATTACTGTAGCTTTGTAGTATAATCTGAAGTCTGGAAGGGTTATACCTCCAGCTCTGTTCTTTTTTCCCAGGATTGCTTTGGCAATTCTGGGTCTTTGGGGCTTCCATATAAATTTTAAGATTATTTGTTCTAGTTTTGTGAAAAATGTTGTGGGTATTTTGATAGGGATTGCACTAAATCTGTAGATTGCTTTGCATAGTATTGTCATTTTAACAATATTAATTCTTTTAATCCAAAAACACAAATTATCTTTCCATTTCTTTGAATCTTCTTCAATTTCTTTTGTCAGTGTTTTATAGTTTTCAGCATATAGGTCTTTCACCTCCTTGGTTAAGTTTATTCCTAGGTACTTTTTTTTACATGATTTTAAACAGGATTTTTTTTTTTACCTTCTCTTTCTGATATTTCCTTATTAGTGTAAAGAAATGCAACAGATTTCTTATTAATCTTCTATACTACTACCTTGCTGAATTCACTTATTAGTTCTAGTAGTTTTTTTGTGGAGGCTTTCGGGTTCTCTACATAGAATATCATGTCATCTGCAAACAGTGACAGTTAGAATCCAGTTTTATAATTCAAGGCCTCTTCACTGAGAGAATCCCCTTCACTGATCTTTGTTAATGTAAACATCCCAGAAAATAAATGTAGTTTATAAATGTAATAGAGTATTATATATACTATATAATTAAATATATAATATAAATAACTTTTAGAATAAATTTATAAACGTGTGGAGGAAAACAATTTGTGGCAAGAAAAGACTTTTAAAAAACTGCTATATACCTATTACATAGTAATAATTTTATAATGAGAAATAAGTTCACTCAAAATTCTTGGAATCTCTCAACCAGCTTTGGACTTGGCATCCGCCTTTCAAAATACTTCATTGAAGATATTGAACATCTGCATTTGAGGTTCACAGAATTATTTTACCAGCCTTGATGCCTTAAATCACCTACTGGCTTTTTGAGCAGGTTGGATTTATTGAAAAAGAAAAAGAGAAAAACAAAAACAAAACCTTTGGCAATGTATAGGAAAACAATTACCAAAGACAACACTGCATTTCCAATATGTTTTTTTTCTTGTACTTCGTTGAATTCCAGTGTTACCAATGCTGTGACCTAATAAATATTGTCAAAGGAGTAAGAAATCCATACTTCGCAGAATTGCATGTTGTACACATTCCCAAAAAGTCAAAACAGAAATATGTCAGAAAAATTAAATGCCAAGGGTCTCCTATCTCTCTTTGTAATAATACAAAGTATCATTTTATATGATCAAAATGATGAAATAATCCAAAAGAGTCCTCGCTGCCTTGAAAATCTTTTCCTTGATAATACTGTCTCCATTAGCTAATCTGTTACTGATAAACTTGCTTTCACAGCAAGATGTCTTGAAGTGAGTAGTCAGTACTAACCACTTCTCCTTATCTATGAAAAGTATTTCTAGAACTGGTAGGAAATACACTTAGTTTTATTTACTCTTTCATTCATTGAAAATATCTACCTCAACTTCCTAGAATCTAGATGTGTTTATCAAGGGAATCCCCTCGTTTTAAAGATAAAAAGCTGAGGTCCAGTGACATTAACTTATGTAAAGACAAGCAGCCAGTTAGAGATAGAGCAAGGAGTGGAGTGCGTGAGCATGCACACACACACACACACACACACACACACACCTTTTTATCACCTTGTAATGCGGCTTCTAGTCTCACCAAGTTTCAGAAACTCTCAAAGGTCATTAAATCCAGTGGCTTTATCTCATTCCTCATCCATTGAGATTCTTGATGCTTCTTGTTTCTCATTAAACTTCCTTAGATTTTGTGATACACAGTAGACTTCTCTGACTCTTGTCTCTTCTACCTCCCCCCCTGTCTCAAATGCTCATTCCTCTCCCTTAACTTCATCTATCACCTCTATGTAGATGACTCTCCAACTCAAATCCATCTCCCAAGAATCTTTTTTTTTTTTTTTTTTAATTTTGGGCTACATTGGGTCTTTGTTGCTGCACACGGGCTTTCTCTAGTTTCGATGAGCATGGTCTACTCTTTGTTGCAGTGGCTTCTATTCTTGCGGAGCATGGGCTGTAGGTGCGCGGGCTTCAGTAGTTGTGGCACACGGCTCAGTAGTTGTGGTGCATGGGCTTAGTCACTCCGCAGCATGTGGAATCTTTCAGGACCAGGGCTCAAACCTGTGTCCCCTGCATTGGCAGGTGGATTCTTAACCAC